AGCTAGCGCCCATAGCTTCCCAGTGACACTGTTCCCACTGCTGGTGCAGGTGCCTGGGTACTGCTCATCTCCCCCCACCTCAAACGGTTCCTGCTGTGCTGCTCTGGGCAGCAGGTAGTGTGGGGAAGCAGCAGTAGCCATGGGGGTCATGTATTGGGTACTACATGCTGAACCAATTTCCGGGGTAGCTGCAGCTGGGTGGCTCCTGCCCCAGCCTATGGGGCTCTGTCTCCCAGCTGGCTTCCACTCACTTGGTCACCCAGTATGATGAACAACCACTTACAGGTGGCTGAGTGGATGGAAGGCAGCCCTGCTGGCAAGCTGCGCACACTGGTTGGGGCAGTGCTGTTGGTGAATGCTGGAAGGAGTGCAGTGCAGGCTGCCCTGGGCAGGAGCAGGCAGGGCTCAGCCCCAAGCGCAGTGCTGTGGGAACAGCTGTAGACCAGATAGGGAGTGGGGAGCATGGACCGCACCTGCACTACTTTCAGCTTTCAGTGTAGGCATACGTGTGTTAATGCAGTGTGTGAGATTGTGGTACACTGCAGTAGCTGAACCACAAGGAGGTTCTGCGTTTGCTGCTTATTCATATACATACACAAGAGTGGCACGTTTCCACTTCTGAGCTGGACATTGCTCTTTGCATTGACTGAGAGGTCTTGCCTCCTAGTAGTTGAGCCCTTACTGAGCAATCACTCCTGAAAATAGAGGACTTCTCTTCTTTGTGGTGATCCTCCCGCCTCTGCCCTCAGTCACCCTGCTAGGATCTCTCTCCCATGGGAGGACATTAGCTCAGCTATTTTCCCATCTCTGTTTTTGAGCTTTCCCTATGGGGCTCATGCTCCTGTCTGCACTGTGGCCATCTGACTGTAGCCATGTTTTTTTGTGTTTAACAGGAGTGGGCTGTGCAAACTCTGGTCTGTGCCTGACTGCAGTCTCGTTCACACTTTACGAGGTAGAGATGTGCTTTTATAGATGATCTTTTTCTAAGTCTCCTTGTCCCCATTTCCCTCTGAGTCCATTTACTATAGTAACCACTTCTGTTTGGCTACAGAAGTGTTGGGAGCTGAATGCTTTGGATGCACTTTCTGAACAGTGCTCAGGGTGTCAGCTGCTGACTGAGAGCTGAGCACAGAAAAGTTTCAGTTAATTAGGACTCACTTTCCATTGATTGCTGGTGCCCTGAATTTGCTTTTTTCATAGATAGTTGAAATCGCAGTGTTTTTTTTATTCTGTGTTGAAAAATTTTTAGACTAATATCAACATTCCTATCCAGTCCACACTGAGTAGAATTGGCAGGTCTGTGTTCAGTAGACCAAACTGGGTTTTGAGCTTTGACCTGGTAAAACCTTTAGCACATATTCTTTCCATTCCAAGAGTGTAGCTTTTCCCCATAAAATACATTATGTTTTAGAAGTGCGGACACAGGCTTCAGATGCTCCAAGAGGGTGACACTGGATTTGTTGTTGGCTTGTCTGCTGGGTGTAAATGTCTGGTAGCCACTCTGCAGCTTGATCAGCTTTTAATTCAGAGTAGGAAACAACCAAGCATTCTTTGGCCTCTGCTCAACTAAATGGTAATGAAATGAATGGTGCTTCTCTGAGAAGGTGGTAAAATCAGCCAAAATCATACCTGCATATTTTTTTACATGGCGTCTTCTTAGGGCACAACACCAATGTGGGAGCAATTGTATTCCATCCCAAAGCTACTGTCTCCTTGGACAAGAAGGATGTCAACTTGGCCTCATGTGCAGCTGATGGTTCTGTCAAACTCTGGAGCCTTGAAAGGTCAGAACAACACTGGGCACACCATTGCAGTGTTATTTCTTTTACTTTTTTGAGCACTTAGCAGCTTCCTGTAAGTGTGACCTATTCTCAGTTATGCTTTGACTCTCACCTTGATGCACTTCAACTTCTTCCACTTGCCAAGGGACCTGGGGAAACAGGGTAGAGTAAGTCCTTGGCTGAGAGTCAAACAAATCTGTGTCTTACTGAATTGTTGCCTAGCAGCCCAGTTTCGAGCAATGAACATTGCTCAAGTGCTGCTGAGGTCTTAAACCTCTGGAGCAAGATTGGGTGTTTTGTGCCAGCCCTTCATCCATAAAGAAATTCCCAGCCACTGGTAGCAAGGAGTTAGCTTGTCACATTGCCTTGGTTCTTGGAGAGCAGCAGATTCCAAAGCAGATGGACCATTCATAACTGTGTCCCAGAGACTCAGTGGCTTAGATCAGGATCCATGACTAATCACTGCCACAAGACACCTCTTTGCAATGTCCAGCCACCCAACTAGCAAGATGGGAATAATGAGGGTGCCAGACTTCAATGTCTGGGTGGGGGTTTTGTTTTTTTTAAGGAAAAGTCCTGCCTTGAGTCTCCAGTGAGAGGCAGGTGGCTTTAAAGGCCTGTGCTCATACTCATAGCTTAAAGGGGTGGTTTTTAATTGCTTCTGGCATGGCAGCAGTAACCGTGCTCTGGGGGGAGTTGGTGGTTTGTCCCACAAGAAGACAGAGTCAGTTTCCTCTCTAGTTGGCCTGCTCAGAGTGGTGTTTGTTTCTTTTTGATACTGTTTCAGACCTTCTCTTAGTAGCTGGGTTTTTTTGCAGCTCTTGTAAATAAAAGGGGCTTCTGACCTTGTAAATTGATTCTTGCATTGGGGAACCTGTAGCTCTGAGCTTACCTAATGAGAAGGATGCAAATCCTTACTTTAAGTGTTAACTTTGTGAACAAGTTCTAGGAATAGTAGGCAGGAAGTGGGATTTCTGAACTCCCTGTGCTGCATGTTTACAAATGGCAGCAGAGTCTGCGGTAGCCTGGGCAAAGAGTACATGCTCCCTGGACAGCATGTAATGGTATTGGTTTATGTTTCTTTCAGCGATGAGCCGGTGGCAGATATTGAAGGTCACACCATGAGAGTGGCACGAGTGATGTGGCATCCCTCTGGGAGGTTCCTGGGCACCACTTGGTATGGGGCTTTGGTTTGTCATACTCAGAGAGTTGAGCATTAGCTCTTGAATTGGATGAATAAGGAGGCATTGCTGTTTGTTTGCAGAGTGGGGTTGAAAAACTGATGTTGCCCGGTGAAGTGGAAGAAGAAGAGAGCATATAATGCCTTGCTCACAAACAATTCAGCCTGGGTCATACCCAGCCATTATTAGCAACAAGCCACAGGTTAATCTTGTCTGTGCCACTGGAAGGCAAGTAAGCAAGGTTCCATAAAGATATCCTTCCCTTCTCTCTCTTATGATAGGCGCTCTTTTATTTTATTCCCATGTTAAGACAATGTTATCTGAATAAAATCTATCCCATACAAACAGTGCAAGGTGAAATAGCCTGTTACCGTTTCTGAGATGTGCTGGTTGCCAAAGTGCTACCACCAGGCTGTGCCATCACCTTGCTGTGGTTATCCTTGATGTTAGTCACTACTAAGAAATGAGCATGGAAATAATGATTCTCTCCTAAAGGAATTATAGGGTCATTGAGTCTCAGTTAAGACCTATAAACCACGCCTAGAAGAGGGTTTAATCTACACTGCAACCCAGAAGTGAGCACATAGTCTAGAGGTATCTGAAAAGCTGGCTCCAGAAGGAGCTGTGTAGTGTAGTTCCTATGAAATACCCTTCTGTGTCCACACCCAATCAAAAGGTAGTCCTCATAGGTCACAGTGACCTACTCTGTGCTCCTCTCCCTTCCACTCCAATTCCAGGGACTTCTCCTGATTCATGGAAATGAAGTCTCTGCTCTTTCTGGTGGCCATCCTGTGTTCATAAGGAGCAGTTTACAACATATTATGCCTGATTTTTAAAGTATTACATGCCTCTGAATGCTCTTCCACCCCTATTTCTGTTTGAACACTGCACATGTCCAAATGCAGTGTCTGTTTTCAGGCACCCCCATGGTAAAAAATGCTGATCTTCCTAAAGGATGTGATGCTGAAGTGAAGACTTGCTTTGGAAATCTGAAGTACTAAAAGCACAGGAAGGGGAAGACAAACCAGTGCTTGCCACTGGGCAGGCCTGTCAGCTCATCTGAAATGAGCTGTCAGCCATAAGCTGTTGCTTGCTGTCTGCACAGTGAGTTCCAGGGAACCTACCAGCAGAATGAAAGCCAAGCAGTGTGCTGCAGAGGAGCACTGCAGCATGTGGGGTGAATACAGTTCCCAGTGTGCAGCCAGTAAATATAGTTCCTTGTTTTTTTCTATGGAGCTCACTCAGAATAACACTAGTAGGGTGGGATAGGCAGGCATTCTAACAACCCCACAGGTGTTTCTGGGTTTATGCCATATTGTGCCATGCTTTGCCTTACTCTGTGGGTGACATTTTCATTCTGCTGGCAGGACCCATGCTCCCTTTGGCTAGCTAGATGCAGCTTTCCTGTGGTATTAGAGAAGCATCCTCTTATGTGTATAATGAGGCATAGCATCAAGGACTTCCTAGTCTTTAGGGTGAGCAGGATCATTCCTTGCCACCCCATGCTGTGCAGTAGATGATGTGCTGGACTGATTGATAGAAATGGGTCCTCATTTCCTGCATGCCTATTTCAAATGTCAGCACCAGGCAGCCTCATAGTCTGACTGGACATGTGAGAAACCCACTGAGCTGAGCCATTGTCTTTGTCTCTGCAGCTATGATCACTCCTGGCGCCTGTGGGACCTGGAAGCTCAGGAAGAGATTCTTCATCAGGAAGGGCACAGTAAAGGGGTCTATGACATTGCTTTCCACATGGATGGATCTCTCGCTGGGACTGGGTGAGATTTGCTTTATGAAGAGTCTCTATGTGGAACATTATATTAAAGTTTAGTCACTCAATCACTGTCCCTGTGGGGAATTCCCTGGGGTCGAACTGACAGTTTCCTCTGAACTGAATGCTGAGAATTAGCATTTGGGGCTAGCAGCTGCTCTTGCAAGTCTAAGTCATGTGAATGTTTGGGGGGGTTTTTTCTCTTAGTGGCCTTGATGCCTTTGGCCGGGTGTGGGACTTGCGCACCGGACGCTGTATCATGTTCTTGGAGGGTCACCTGAAAGAGATCTATGGGATCAACTTCTCACCAAATGGGTAAGGAGGGAACTGGTGCAATTTAGATGGGAGCTCATAATGTCCATTCTCTACATAATGTCCACACTCTTCTCCCCACGGCAGATACCACATAGCAACTGGCAGTGGAGACAACACTTGCAAGGTGTGGGACCTCCGCCAGAGGAAGTGCATTTACACTATACCTGCCCACCAGAACCTAGTGACAGGGGTGAAGTTTGAACGTGAGTATCTCCCCTCTACCTCCTGGGTCTGTTTCCTAGCTAGCATTTCTCCTAGCTTATTGGTGCTGATGCGGCTTGGATGACTGTGCAGTACATACATAAAACAGTTTCGTAGTAGCTAGGGTCAGGAGGGACCTGAACAGATCATCTAGCCTGACCCCCTGCCACAGTCAGGAATGAATGCTGGGTTCACAAGACCCCAGACAGGTGATCGTCCAACCTCCTCTTGAATTTGACCAAGGTAGGGGCGAGGACCACTTCCCTGGGAAGTTGGTTCCAGATTTTGGCCACCCTAACTGTGAAATATTGCCTTCTGATCTCTAACCTAAACCTATTCTCCATCAGCTTATGACCATTGTTCCTTGTCACCCCAGGTGGTGCTGGGGAGAAAAGGGCTCTACCTATTCGCTGTTGATCTCCCCTGATGAGTTTGTAGGCAGCCACCAGGTCCCCCCTCTTGCTGAGGCTGAACAGGTTCAGATCCCTCAGTCTCTCCTCATAGGGCCTGTCCTGCTGCCCTCTCAGCAAGCGGGTGGCCCTCCTCTGAACCCACTCCAGGCTGGCCACATCCCTTTTGAAGTGCGGCGCCCAGTACTGGACACATTAATCCAACTGCGGCCTGACCAAAGTCACATAGAGGGGGAGTATCACCTCTCTGGACCGACTGGAGATGCACCTTTGGATGCATGACAAGGTATGGCTGGCCTTGCTGGCTGCAGTCTGGCATTGGCGGCTCATGTTCATCTTGGAGTCAGTAATGACTCCAAGATCCCGTTCCGCTTCTGTGCTTTCAAAGTTTGTTGGCACCACAACCACAGAGCATAACTTTTGCCTCCAAGCCAAATAGGGCTGTAGTTTACTGTAAACAGCAGAAGAACTGTCATTCCTGTTTGCAAATCTCACCTTTTCTTCTTTCTTCTTCACTGTAGCCAATCATGGGAACTTCCTGCTCACAGGCGCCTATGATAACACAGCAAAAATCTGGACCCATCCAGGCTGGTCCCCATTGAAAACACTGGCTGGCCACGAAGGAAAAGTAATGGGACTGGATATCTCCTTAGATGGGCAGCTCATGGCAACATGCTCGTATGATAGGACCTTCAAGCTGTGGATGGCGGAGTAGTCAGTTTAGAACTGCTCGTGATCTCGGACAAGGACTGAGAAAAAGCATCAGCCGCTGAACCAAATAGAGTGGCTGGAGTCACTGGCTGGTATTAGCTTTCAGGCTCTTTAGCCGGATTAGAGCTGGGCTGTATTCTCCTCCCTCGTCTAAGTTTATTTTTGTATTCTTCCCGTTGTTTCTGAGGTGAATTCTGCTTCCCATCTCTGTGAGCATAATGCAGTTTCTCCTCTCCTTGTTTATAAATGTTTGTAAATACCCACATTCCACTTCTGCTGCTGTGTTTTCTGAAGCCCGTTTCTTAGCATCATTCTGGCCCTCAGGCTCCTAGGAGCCATTCCAGCAGTGGCAGCAGGTCTGGAATGGTTTGGCATTTTGGCAGTCAGCTTCTCGAGTCGTGCGAAAATGGTCCTTCTACCTCAGAAAATGATACTGCTGAACATGGAAGCCCATGTTCCATGTGCTACAGGTCAATTTGAAAAGGTGGAGGATCATTTGTCTTCCCTATACAGAGCTGAACTCAAACTATCTACTGTCCCAGATTCCATTAGGACAGTGGTTCCCAACCTCAGGTCGCAACCCAAATGAGGGTCGCAGGGGCAATGCCACTGGCACCGCACACAAAAGACAAGCCACGCCACGTGCCGGGAAGCTCCCCCACCCCCAGGATGCCACTGCCGCCACACTCCACTCCCAGCAGCGGGTTGTTGGGAACCACTGCATATGGGTATTAAAACAAATTAAATGTATCGTATTCCCCTACCATTTCTGTGTTTCTGCTAAGAGAGGAGTTGGTTTCAGTTTTGTTTCTAGTGTCACTTTAGCTCTTGCTTTTGAAAGGACTCTTACTTTTTGTTTAAGCAGGAACCAGGCACTAGCTCAGGGGTTCTCAACCTTTCTCTTCCTGAGGCCTCCCCTAGTATGTTGTAAAAACTCCATGGCCCATTGGTGCCACAACAACTGCCTGCCTCCCCAGCCCTGCGCACAAGGCCCTGAGTGCAGTGGGCAGGGTTCAGTGGTGGGAAGCCTCGGTGCCCCACCCACCTGAGCAGTAGCAGCATGGAGCCTTGCCCGCCCGCCTGCAATGCTGCCCACAAGACATTGGCTGCAGGGTAAGACCTGGGCCCACCCCTGCCCCTTCCTCTGTCTTGCCTCAGCCCCAGGGACCAAAGTGGTTCCTCCCTGCACTGGGCCAGGCTGGGCATAGCCCTATAACCTGCTCGCAGCCTGCCAGGGCTGTGGACCCCTGGTTGAGAACTGCTGCACTAGCTTATGCCTAGGCCTGCCCTCCCTTCTATCTCAGCTGTGTCTCAGAGATAGGTATCAGGTCAGTTGCTGTCAAGACTGTCTTTCCTCTTCTCACCCACTGACTCCCAGCAGCAGCTTTGTGGGCTGGTACACATGGTGATGTTTCTGCCTTTGATGGTGAATGTGAGATAGGTTTGCTCATTTTCTCTTGTTCCATTTCCTACCTCTCCAATTACTGGGTTAAACTGGGATAGAACAGAGTTACAGCATGTGCAGATGCGCACGCATTTTGAAATGTGCGTGTATCCCATCGCCTATGGGACTAAGTTTGAAAAACACCTCCAACGGAGAGTGAAGGCAATTATGTTTCCTCCCAGGCATCTTGAGGGAATGGGCTAACTTTGTGCCTCTCTTGCCATTTGTGGCAGCTGAGGCTGTTGACAAGTTCTGGTTTCCCTAGCTCTTTGCTTCCTCCCCTTTGCTTGGTTGTGGGGTTCTCCAAGGTAATGTAGGTGGGTGATCAATAGGCAATGAGTACCCTTGTGTGGAGGCCCTATGGGTAGCAGGGGCATTACACTGGGAGTCAAATGCTGCACATAACTTGGCATTATATGGCTGTTTTTGACTCAAAATAGCCATGAGCTCATTCTGTACAGTCCTGGCTACAAACTCCAACTTAAGCATGTGTGTGTGTTCCCCCCTGAGATGTACTTACTCTTTGAAGATCCAGCTCTACTGAGCATCTAGTTTTTGGTTTCAGTAACTTCAGCCTGACCCCTCCAGACACTTGGCTGAGTTTCCTGCTGCAGCTCACCCCTGTCCTGCCTCAGTGACCAAACTATATTGCACTTTGAATTGATTCAATTTACAGCTATCACAAAACCATGCTAAGCAGCTGAGGTCAAGAACTGGTATTGTAAGAGCCTGAGGCACAACTGAACTCTACAACTCATGTACAACTGTCATTCTCGGTCTGTGCTGACCAGCATTTCCAGGTGCATCAGGTCCGTTTCAGCAGCTAGTGCACACTAGCAACCAGGACTAGCAGTAATATCCATCAATATGATGTCACTGCAGCCACTTGACTTTCCTAAGATGCATGCTTGTTTCCCCTCCCCCTTGGACTTGCACTCCATCCAGGAGACATCTCTGGAAGTGATGAGGGGTGAATGCAGCAGGGGGAGGGAGGAAATGAGCCCTGCCAACATGGACCAGAAGTTCCTGCTCTGATGCAAACCAAAGGGCTTGTGGGGGAGAGCCTGCAGGAGGAAGACAGCAGTACCACGAGACTGAGCCCCTGGGCCTTCCTTGATGGACAAACCCTATTAAAATGGATCCCTTTACCTCTGATTTTGGCAGCTGAACGCCAGTATTGTAAATATGTTCTTATCTCTGGGACTCAACAAATAAGGTATAGATAAGAACCTGCTGCCCCGACAGCTGAAATGGGTGAAACACTGCTGCTGTTTGTCACTGCCTAGTAACCTCTACCAATTTAGAGAATTCACATAGCTGATGCACAGTGACGAACATAGCTATCTCCCTGGCATTTGGCTAGTAGTAACCACAGCTACTCTTGCAAAGTGTTAATCTCCAGTGGCTGCCTAAATATTGCTGAGAATCATCTTCCCTGCATCTTCCCTGTATCGCTTGTAGCAGAAGCATCACTGGACCATGTGTGAGGGCTGATTTGCCAAGAATCATTGTCAGCTCTTTGAAGGTCTCCCATCTGCATCACAGCAAGGCCCAGTACTGATGAAAGCAGGAAAGAGCAGGGCCTAAGGCTGAGAGAGCAAGCTTTAAAAAGCCTCTTGGGGCTGTGTTGATACAGAGCACTCCTGGGGATTAGCACAATTATCCACAGGACAGTAACATGCAATCCCAGCCAGCTGTAAACCAGGTAAATAATGAGGAGTACTGTCACTGCTGCCAGGCACATCAAGGTGCTGAATGGGGGCTGCAAAGGAATTGTGTTTCAGTGCAAAGCAGGGGAGTTAAAGCACTGCCTTCTCTCACCATGTCCCTTGGAGCAGCTGTAAGCAGAGCCCGAAGGTCTGACCCACTAATGAGACAAAGAGGCAGCACAAAGCTACTACTGCCTTCTCTATTAAACCAGGAGGGATCTATATTTGCCCAGTCGAAATAAAGCAGGTCACAGTTA